ACTTTGTAAAAAATAAAAAGCAGAAATCTGCAAAATCGCAGACTTCCGCATAAATTCACAAAAAAAATGCGGAGATCTGCTAATTTTACAGATCTCTGCAGTTCTGCATCTTAAAAAATTTCCCGATGAAAGCTATAATTTGTAAATATGTAATTTGGCCAGAATTAGCACTTAACTCTGGCAGGAATTATTGAATTTCCCAAAAAGGAAATTTAGGTTACACAAAATGCCAACTTGGTTCTATAAAAATCGATTTTTGTGAAATGGCTATTGCCAAAAAAAGGAAATGATCGACATATCCGTTTTGGCTGGAGTTAAAAATTAGGAATTAATTCCAGCCGGCATTATGAATTCGGCTGAAATTATTAGTAAAATCAAATCTGAAATCTGAATTAAATCTGTCAAATTCAATCTGATCAGATTTGATCTGAAGCTAATCTGATTTGTTCAGATCAAATTTTTTTTGATCTGAATCTGAACTGCAGATTAAATTTATCTGATCTGATCTGAATCTGACAGATCAGATTATACATGTAGCCGAAACCTCTATGAAGCTGGACAGGGTTTCGGACTTTCAGTAATTTAATTATAATAAATTATTAAAAACTATCCAAAAATCCATCCGAAACTCTAAAGACTTTATATTATAGTTTCAGCTGGATGTAGAGATTAATTTTTATCATTTTTTAACTTAATTTTGATTTAAAGACGTGGCCAAAAATCACGTGAAAAGGTTTCAGCTACAAGTATAGATCAGATTTTTTTCAGAGCACTACACTGAATGGCGAATAATATCAAGTTTCGCATTTTTTAAAAATTTTTGAGCGTTAAAAATTAAAAATTCCGATATATGAATTTATTCATCATCCAATGGTCATGCAAATATGAATTAAGACTCATTGGATTCGTCTCGATAAAACAAATTGAATGGTAGTGAGATCATGTCTCTAGCATCAATAGATTATAAGTTAATTCACGCTAAATAATTTATAAAAAATTGGTATTATCAAGCTATCTATCGATACTAGAGACGTTTTCTTACCACCATTCGACTCGTCTTATCAAGACGAATCCAATGAGTTTTAATTCATACTGTATTTGTACGACCATTAAACGGCGAATAAATTTATGTATCAGAATTTTTAATTTTTAACGCTCAAAAATTTTTAAAAAATGCAAAACTTGACATTATTCGAATTTATATTCATTGAATTCATTTCACTGAGACGCGTCAAATGACGCTAAGATCATAGTTCTAGCATCAATAGATAGCTTGATAATTCCAATTATTAATAAATTATTTAGCGTGGGTTAATGTGTGATCTATCAATACTAGAGACATGATCTTACCACCATTTGACACGTCTCATCGAGACGAATCCAATGATATATAGCTCAATTTTATACGATCACTAGATGGACAGCTATTCAATTTTTTGCATTTTTATAAAAAATTGGATTAAACTGAATCGAACTGCTGGTTTTTCGGTTCTAATACCTGAACCAAACCAAACTGAATTTTGAGCCAGTTTTGGATCAATTCCCCAGTTTAGTCTGAACTGTTAGGAGCTTTAATAATATCTTTAATAATTAGATGATTTTATGCATAATTTACATATAAACTTTTTTACAAAAAAAAAAAATTATTATTATTATTATTTTAATATTATTTACCCCTTAAAATTGAAATTACATGATTACATATTACCTAAAATCTGAAATTCGAAATCTAAAATTCAAAATATAATTCTGGCCAAAATTAATGTAATTTCACTTAAACATGTAATTTCAGCCTAAAATTATAATTCAGCCAAAACGGAAATGCAGATCTTTCCTTTTTTGGTGATAGCCATTTCACAAAAATTGATTTTAGTGTGAATGACACTGGTAACATCACTTTTCTTTTTAGAATATTTGTTAATTTCTGCTAAAATTAAGTGCATAATTCTGGCTAAAATTACATATGTAATTTCAGAATTACAGCATTACAGATTAGTTACGGCATTAAGACCTAATTACAGTATTATGTCCTAATTATGGCATTACAACCTAATTACAGCATTACAACTTTTGCTTTTTAATGTAGATAGGTTGCAACCTGTTATATATGACACTGTATCTTAATTTTTTTACGGCTAACATCTTTAGTTAAACATACTCATAAATAATTACGTTTAATGTAATTACCGTAAATACTATTGGTAATTAATCACATGATATGTAAAAATGCAAGAAAAAATGCTGAAACTGATAGTTCAGCAGTTTTACATGTAAAAATGAAAAGAAAATCGCTAAAACTAATAGTTCTGGCAGCTTTACATATAAAAATAAAAGAAAATCGCTGAAACTGATAGTTCTGGCAGTTTTACATATAAAAATAAAATGAAAATTGCTGAAACTGATAGTTTTGGCATATAATAAAAAGAAAATCACCGAAATTGACAGTTCTGGCGTTTTTATTTCTAGAAATGCAAAAAATGCTGAAACTGATAGTTCTGACATTTTTACTAGTAAAAATGAAAAAAAATGCTAAAACTGATAGTTAGAGCTCCGAATGGGTCAGGTCAGGTCAAGTTAATTGATAAACCTGACCTGAAATTTTTTTTCAGGTCAGGTCAGGTCAGGTTATATCAGGTTGACTGTTTGACCTGACCTGACCTGAAACCTGAAAATTTTCAGGACTATTTTTATTAAAGTATTGAAAAAAAACAGTACAAAACTTTTTTTTTTTTAATATAATATTATGAAAAAAAAACGTTTTTGCAATTAAAATATTGAAAAAAAATATTGCAAAACATTTTTTTTAATATAACATTATGAAAAAAATGTTTTCGCAACGTTATTATTGAAATATCAAAAAAAAAAACGTTACGAAACATTTTTTTAATATAATATCTGTCTCTTATACACATCTAGATGTGTATAAGAGACAGATTTTACAGATCTCTGCAGTTCTGCATCTTAAAAAATTTCCCGATGAAA